TAACAAAAGATAGGAAAAAATTTACTACTTATTTAGACAAACAAATAAGTGATTGTACAGAATTAAATATGTATAAAATATGTAAATTACCACAGCCAATACAAGAAGCTAATAGTCATCAACCATGTGAAGTACAATTTATTATTCAAAGGAGCGGATGCAATACCGAATAAATGTATACTTAAAAAATTTACACTGAGTGAAAATATATATCATAGGCTTAACAAGAAAAATACATGGATACATGTAGGACATGATGTTTTAACAGTAGGATGTGATGATTTAGTAGAACCATTTATTCAAGAAATGAGAAACTCAGGAGAAATATCTATAATAGATACAAGTTGTCGAATATTTACAAGAGATGTAGTATTAAATGCAATAGAAGAAGATATAAGTAGAAAATACAAAGATTTTGTACCTGTAACTAAAATGAAAAATTTATTAGATAAGATACCTGAGCACATACATAACTATACAATAAACGAGAAATGGGATAACGAAACAGATATACAATTAACAGATCTACATGGTGTATCTAAATCACTCGATGAGGTACAACAAATGATCGATAATGAGATAATAAGAGAACAAGCACAAAAACATCAATTTATTCATTCAAATTTATTATATGCTACAGTAGGTTTAGCTATATTATGTATGATATTAATATTAGCTATGTATATACTAATAAAATGTAGGTATGTTAGCAATCATCATATAATAGAACCTAGGAGAATAGTTAGATATAGGAAACCAATGAGGAAAGGAAATTATAGTACAGAAGTTTTCGAAGATATACCATTTGCTGCTCCACCATCACCACGTTAAAAAAAAAATAATAAGAGTTAGAGTGACATTTTTTTTTCTTAAGAGATAATAATTAATAATAGTTAATAGTATAATAGTTAATAAAAGTGAAAGACATTGATTTTGAGGAAAGTAATATTTTATAATAAGAGATATTGAGGAAATATAATTAATAATAATATAAATGAATAGTTAGAGTGACATTTTTTGAGGAATAATTTAATAATATACGTATATATGGTAAATATTAAATTTAAAAAAAATATATATATAAATATAGTTATTAAATGGAAATTGGGATATTCAGTTATTATTTAGGAAAATACAAAATTATTAAATGTAACATACATGTGTAATAACATTAGTTGTTCACAGATTTATTTATGTAATAATTATTGAGGTGAAGGATTTTTATGTTTTTTTTTTTATATAATTAATTGATTTAAATTTTATGTTACTAACATATTTATTATTAAGCAATTGATGTAAATGATGTGTAACTGATACATATAAAAATTGTAAAGATTTCTGTCTTGCAGACATAAACCTTTTTTTTTTTTGTGGGGAGGTGTTATGGGCTACGAGATGTACTAATAATATAATATAATATAATATAATATTCATGAGCTACGAGATATGCTAATATGTAATATATGTGTAATATTGCTATAGGTATTAGCAATAGTGATCTAAATATATATGTGATCTAATAATTATGATGTATACGAATATTAGATTCATATTTTGTAAAAACATTGTAATAAATCAAAATAGTAGTTCTTAGGCGAGGTCGTTTTGCGTTTACAAGAATTGCCGGTAAGACGATAACATCCTGGAGATTGTTGTTTCAAATGTGAAAACAATTCCAAGAATTAATCTAAATTGGAAGGTTGACGATTACAACAACAAGAGATTTTCTTGTATATAAGGGAGTCCGAAGACCAACAAGGGCAGATGTACCAGAGCTACGAAGAACAGAGCAACTTCACGACACTCAGCCACTTCTTATATCAGTTACATGTATTTTATTTACACAGATTAAAACATTATTGTAATTAAGAGTTGTACAATTCATTTTAATAACACCTTGGATCTGGATCTGATATTGGCACGCAACATCTCCAACGTGTGTCATAATGAAATTCTAAGGTAATTTTCATAGTTTTCATTAAGAATTCCCATCTATACTTTTTGAGCCAAAAAAAAATGTTTATATATTTTGAATTAAAGCAAAAAATGTTAGCATCATGAATGAAATTTCTGCAGCATATAAACGTATCAGGTTAAGGCTATGAACCTGACATGTTAAAAATGTCGTTAATTAATTTACATGTAAGATATGTGATTGTATACCATTATTATTTCCAGCCATATTTGCGACAATGACATAGCACTGTCCTTTACAGACTACGGTCTATTATATCAAGTTCGTTATTTCTTGTAGTACGTATTTAATATTTCATTATAAAGCACTGATCCTGATTTTTCGTTAGTAAATATAAAATCAATAAATGATTCTTTGATCGTATGTCGACATACCTGATTATTATATGTGACATTTGTTCCTTATGAGATTTATCAGGAGTACAACCAAAAGTAATTGAGAAATATTTTGATTTTTTTATTTATTCAAATATAGAACTTATAAAAATTTATAGAACCATTTACTGTCAAAATGTCTGTCATCATAATCGTTTACTGAAAAATAATTATTTTGATCCATAATGGTATGGTCCTCTTTTGCACCATTAAATTTCTAAATCTAGAATTCATGGTCTGTCAACAACCCGGGTCATTAAAATTAATGTAAAGTTTATTATTTATTTTGCTAGCTATAGGTTAAATAACTATTTAAACAATATTATAATTTGTAAATAATTCATTTTTAAATAAATAATATGTGAAGCAGTGTTTAAATTGTTGTAGATCTTCGATAAATATATTGTTAGGGTAGTAAATAGGTCACTTGCGAAACGAATACCTACCGTGTTATTGATTTGAATACTAAGATAAATCATTTAAATCATTGTATACAGTCATACAATCACACATTGATTAAATAATAAAAAAATAAGAAGAGGAATGTAAAAGTTTAAAATAAATATGCTAATTTCAAGATTTAAAATGTTTTATTGTTTAGAATATAATAATAAGAAAAAATGATTATTTATACAATTTAAATATATATACCTCTTTGGCTTGAACAATAAGACATTTAAAAAAAAAAAATTAATACTTTATAAAATATTTTTAGTTCGATAAAATTGAATAACATAATCCATTTGTATAAAATTTTGTTAAAATATAACAACATGTCAAGCATGTAATGTTATTTAAATTATTTATCGTTGCTATAAAAATGTTTATAGGCTATTTTTGTATGATTTTATTCTATTTTTATACAATTTTGCAGTTAAGAGTGTCGCGTGCTTATTGCACCGATATTTTTGTGTGTACAATTTTAAATATACTTAGTCAATAAAACAAGTACAGATTTATAATCATATCATTACGATTTACGCTTAATATACATTAATACTCATTGAAGTTAAACATATGGATGCTGCAATAGCCAATAGGTATATATAAAAGTTCCTAGTGAAATACATGTAGGTAATACACTCATACCATTGCAGATAATCACAATGTCATTACATATTTATCTTATGTTATTAAAATGTTGAATAAATATTAGATCTTATTTCCTAGTGTTTCTGTTTTTATTTAGTAAAGTTTTACTTCAAAATTTTGAATTCGGGGTGCCAGAGACTGATGGACTTGTGTTCATGTGCATTTAAAATTTTCAATTATCAGAATTTGAACATTTTTTTTTATTTTTCAAGAAGATAATGGGCCACGGCCACATGTTCGTATGAGGCCCATGCATTCAAAATTTTAAATAAAAATTCATTAAATAGTTAATGTAAATTAAATAATTACAATTTGTCTTACACATATCTTGCATAACTGCATAGTTGGAGCATGAAAATAGATTAAGAGGTCTTAAAAAATCACCTTGTATATACAAATGATTTGTACATTATATTATAAATGCCTATATAATGCATTATTCTAAATTTTTTGTTTTCATTTTTTATTACTTATAAAATCTTTTCTTTTAATTGTTATGATTTATTAAACCATTATTATACAGTTTTCAAACAATAGTTTTAACTAATAAATGTACAAGAAAAGAAGATTAACCTATTAGAAAATAATGTATAATTCATTTTTAAAATTGTATTTTATAATTTTAGATTATTGTACCTAACTATAAATGCAATATAAAATAATATAATGATAAATATGTTGTTATATTTTAGCTATTAGGTGTCTAACTCAAATAAATAGTGGCAATAATTATAAAAATGCATTTAGGTAATACGTTTAGGTTTATTTCAGTTATTTCAATAAGGAAATAACTATCATCTAATTTTAGCCATAATCAACTAGCTACAAAATATTAAAAATATTTAACCTATAAACCTATACTTTTTTTTTTTTTTAATCAAAAAAGGTATTATAAATTCTAAATGTGTATAGGAGGGCACACCTTCAGTTTAAATTTTTGTAATTATATTTACATTATTTATACAGAACAATCTTTTTAGCATTGTTCTGGTTTTAAATAATAATGTTTCAATATAATTAATAAGTATACCTATGTATGCTTATGGGATACTAATCATCTTTTTAGGTTATACAACTATATGGCACAAAACTCCACTAAAAAAAAACAACAAATAAATAAATAATTACATTTGAATCATAAAAATTGTTTATTATACAATACAAAATATCAATTAAAATAATTTACTAAAATACAATGATGGATTTAACCTATTTTTAAAATTTGACAACAATAAAATAAGCAAAATATTAACATAAATATTTATAACTAACATTTTATATTTATTAATACAAATAAAAACAAAAAAAAAATAAATAAATATATATAATATGTTACGGGCAATGTGGAATACCGGGCAATGTGAATCACAATTTTTTTTTTTAATCAACTATAATATTACGCAAATGAAGAGTTTCTTTATTTTTATTTTATTATAAATTACAAATTATATTTTATATTACCTATTTATAATACTTTATAATATTTATTTATTTTAAACAATAATTAATTATATTCATATAGGTATCATATTAATATTAAATATTACGAATATTTTGATGAATATCAAAAAAAATTAACAAATATTATCATTTTATTTCTAATATAAACTATAATTTTAATATTAGCTATTTATTTACACAAGATTTAGAAGCATGACACTTGGAATTACATAACCTGTCTGCTTTTTTACATTTACATTTATTTGTTTTGCAACCCTGTGTACAAGTACATCGATTATATCCTTGTCCTCCTAAATTAGAAAAGGAGCGGGCTGCTTCTCGCAACGATATTAAATTGGCCGGCACATCTTCGATTTGTACAAATTTTTCTTTACAAATCGTAAATTGGTTTCTGCTGTACAGTTGTTGCAGTTTTCCTTCAGTCGTCCCGATTTCGTAGAAATTATCTTTCACTGAAATATAGGTATTTTAAAATGTTAATAGCGAGATAATAAATAGTTTACTATTATATTATTACTTGACATAATCACACCAAGAACACATCTGAGATCACTCCGTGCTCTATCTACATCAGGAATTTTAATTCTAACTGATTCCCCAATATTTCCTTGGCAAAATCGTTTTTCGGACATTTCCATCATTTTTTTGGCTTGAATTTTCAGATTATTCAATGATTCTTTCCTGTTTTGATTAATTGATGTTTGTCTTGTTTTTGTTTGTTTTTCAATTACTTTATCTTCATTGTCTTCTTTTTCTACTTCATTACTTTCGTTGTCGTTAGAAAGGATCTGTATTGACTCTAAGGCAACTTGAAGTTCTTCTTCGGTTTTTAATTTTGCAATAATGTTTGCAGAAAGTAATGAAGACGTTAAACCGATTTTAGGGGGTGTACCAAACATCGCTTCATATGGTGAATGTTTTGTACCATGGTGGTAAGCACGATTTTTCATTAATTGTACGAATCTTAAGCCATTGCTCCATTTTTTTGTTTTGTTATCTTGAAGCCAAGTTGCAAGCATATTTTCGACATCTTGGTTTGCTCTTTCAACTGAACCTTGGCTTTGAGAGTGTCTTGGCTTACCGTGAACTATTTTTAAATCCTTCCACATAGTACAAAGTTCAGATATTATTTTGTTTACAAATTCACGTCCGTTGTCACTTTGTAATATAGCAGGTGCCCCAAAAAGAGTAAATATATCCAATAAAACATTAGCAATTGCTTCGGCACTTTTATGCTTTAAAGGTCTAAGTATGACAAATTTTGTCAAATGGTCTTGGTAAACACATATAAATGTATAATCTCCGTCTGGTTGCGCTTGCATATCAATAAGGTCTACTTGACATCTAGAATTCATTTCCGAGGAAACAATTGGTTTAACCACCAATCCTTTTTTTACTGTATTTCCTTTTCTCTCACATGACTCACAAAAATTTAAATATGACATTATTGTTTCCCTAGTTATATTTTTAAATTTTTTATTTATTTCGTATTCCATACGATTTCTACCACCGTGCCCAATAGATAAATGTATTTCATGTACAATTTCAAATAACTCTTCATTAAAAGCATATAATTTTACACAATTACCTTCTGCAGTTATTGGCATAATTAATTTTTCTTCTCCTTGTACTGTCATTACGTCATATTTTTTCATTAATTTTGAATTTGTTTTCTTCTCTAGCTTCAGTTGTTTTAAATCATTAATTATTTCATAATATTTAGATTTACTAATAAAAGTACTGTTAGTTTTTTTGGTTTCGATAACTTTGTTCAAATGCTCGTAAAATCTAGATTCCATTTTTAAAACACGTACAAAGTAACGAGGTATAGTATCATGTACAGTTGAAAAACTCTGACTGGTTAGTTGAAAAAATCAATTATTGTTCATAATATATCGTTGACTGATTTTATAAAGATAGCTAATTTTATCTTTCCGATATGGCCTATCAAATATGTGAAAACTATGATTTTACTCTTAAATAAGTAGTGCGATAGGTAACAAAACGAGTTTATACAACGTGTTTCAAAATTCCATAGTTTATTAACTAAACAAATATCATAAACTATTATAATAGGTAAAATAAAATTATAATTTACAATAAAATAAAAACTATGATTATATTAAAACTATAATTTGTAATTTATAATAAAATAAAAATAATATTAGTTGATTAAAAATTGTGTTCACTACCTGGGCAGGATCACAATGACCGGGCAATGTGTACATTGCCGGAACATATATACTAATGATAAACCAACTACTCGGCAATAATAACACGAAAATCGAGTAATATATGTATAAAATTATAATAATAAAATAATGGGGTGACGTCTCCACAATGACAATATAATTATAAATAATAATAAATACACAAAATTACCCAGTTAATAACTAAGGTATGAACCAAATAATTGATGTACAAAATAATAATACAAGACACAAATTACCAATGACCACCACTGCGATGGTGACACGATGGTTGTCGGTGGCAGGAAAATGGCGGCTGGTCGCGACTTAACGGCTACGTCGTGTATATATTGAAATGTCGTCGGACCACGCGATTATACGCGTTCGAGTGTCCGTGAGCGAGGTATCACAGTTTCCCTCTCGACACACTATTCGTTACGCACTCAGGAAGCCCACAGCCACGTATCACAAGCACGCACAAAAAACAAAATGTGCTTCTCACGACGAGTCAATGCTAACGACGACAAAGTTCAACGACGGCAAGCAGGCGAAGACCAAGTCCGCAAGTCCGATCGCCAAAAAGACAGACAAACCGGCCGCACAGAAACCAGTACGCTGAGACGTTTACGACAGTGCGTGGCATTGGAAACTTTACGAGCTTGTCGTACAGTCACGCGACCTTAGGGGGGGGGGGACTGATAGCCGGCTTGATGGCGGGAAATGTATCCGCAATCGAACAATCTAATTATCGTCATTTGTCGTTACTTACCACCCAGTTGGCCCATTGACCCTTAGGCATATTGTCCAACCACAGATTGATCGTGTTTCTTATGTCGTAGGCTGATGATGTTTTTGTTAAGTATGCGATAAAATTGAAATTGAACGGCATATGAGCCCTGGGTGTTCCTTGGCTATAGTAATCCATTGTGTAATTTATGGTCGTGTACGCTTCCACTAACATTAGTCTAAATAATATCAAAAAGTTTAGACATCCGTATACAAAAATATTATACTAATATAAATTATTAAAAAATACCAGCTCATAGTTTAACTATTTCAGTAAGATTTGTATAGTTCAATTGAGACTTTGTCAAAATAAAGTCTTATTGATGATAGACGTTATTACGAAAAATGTAGTTTATTTATAAATCAGATCCAAATACAAATAGTGCTAATAGCGGCATGCAGTTAACTTATTTGGACATTGATTAGTATTGGAATACAATACAATATACAGTCAGTGGGTATATACAATAATTACATTGGGTTTTTTGTTTTATTTGTTATGTAAAATTTATAAAGCGCTACACACAATTTACGAACTTCGATATTATTGTTGTTTTTTATTAGTTATAGCTTTAAAATAGAATTAAGTAAATTTGTGTTATGTTCTCGAATGTTAAACTAGTGGAGATTTAAGGTTAAGCAATATGAAAACAGTTCAACCCCCAATGCAGTGATTTTACGTGAAAAAAAAAAGCTAGTGGATATATTTTTAATAATTTATTCAATAAATTAAGTTTTTATTTAAATTTTCACTAATGCATACAATATGTACAACTACTGGTTTGTTTAATTACAGAATTATGGACACTAGTAGAATTAGACAAATTACTGAAGTTAAATATTATACATAAAACATAATATTATTCAGTCTAAAATAATCGGTAATAGAATATAGGTACACTATTTTTAGTTTGAGAATTTGTTATTTTTAAAATAAATCAGGAAAATTTTTGGATGTTTTATGAAATTTAATTATTATAACAGATGAATATAATTTATGGTATTTTTTTCAAATGTATTAGGACATACTTATAATAAACTTTTCTTAGGAAAAAAATGTTAATAATTGTATGGCTAAATAATTAATGTATACATTATTTACCTGGTTTTCCCATCTTTCAGCTTATATTCTTCTATCACGTCCCTAAACTGACTAATCATTTCATATGTTTCAGGTAAATCCATTGTGTTGTGATGATAATATTGTTCATAAGTATTTATTTCCTTTTTAGCAAGCTCTTCTGGTTTCCTGATCTCATCTAAAAATTGCAGATCCTCAAATAAAAACGGTACAGCATCTACTCTGTACCCATCTATACCAAGATCTAACCAAAACCTTAAATTGTTCTGTAAAAAAAACAAAAACATAATTTTAATTAAATTATGAAACATAATGAATATTATTTTTTTTTTAAGGCTTTATACTAAATTTAAACCAAAATAATAATATAATTGGTATGTATATTAGCTAGAATTAAAGTTTTTGAACATTTTATTGGCTATTTAAAAATTGAGAAAGCTATAAAATAGTATTTTAGTAGCTCATAAACGTTCAAGCTATTTTGTCGAATTTGTTTAAATTAATTAAATAATTATAAATTTAAAATTTAGGGAAGTACTGAGTCTATTATATAGTCATGTTGTTTAGTAAATAGTAGATCATTGTAATGCAAAAGTGGACATTAAGTAACTAAATAACTAAAGCTAAGTTGAATTATTTATTTTTTTTAATGTTACTTAATAATTAGACAATTTTTTAATTACCATGATAGCAAAATTCATTAAAGCAACTTAACTTAATTCAGTTAATTTAAAAAAAATATATGCTACGTTAAAATCATGTTAAAACATCTATATAACTGTTAAAAGAAATCAATTAATATTTTTTTATTTAATACTTCTATATACATATATACAATGAATAATAAAATATTCCTTTATTCAATAATTTAATTAACACAGACGTGTAATTTGCTTAATCTACTACTTAACAGGCTAGTAACCAATAATTATAATCCACAATCCCGATTACTTGATACATTTTCGTAGCGTTTTAGATCGATTTAAATGTACCTATGTACATTTTGAAGTGGTGTAAATAGTTCGACCAGCAGTGATAAGGATTGCTAGTAAAATTACCTAAGAGCTATGTACGATGGGAATATCTGCGCGTGTGTTTGTGTATATGTGTTAATATTTGCTTAAAAAAATATTAAAAAATAGTAACAATGTTTTAGTTAAAAAAAACACGCGGAACACGTTCTTGGAATTCAGTGTACCATTATTTTTAAATTTAATATGATAACTACCACTTATCACAATCTTGTTGCAAGACGAATAAAGTGAAATAAGTGTCTATACAAGGTCTTTATATCAAGTCTATTTTTTTTTTTAATTTTAGGTTACCTATGCGTAATATTACACGTAAGCTAATTAGATATTTAAAATTTATTTAAAGTGTTTAATTTGACATTTTAATTTACTAATTATAAAAATATTTTGGCTGACGCTGTTTTCATCTTTAAGATAATTTGGCCTTGAATACAAAAACTATTTAAAAAACCTTAACAGTAAATATCAACGACCAATAAAATTAAAGGCAATAATTTTATTAAACATGTTTTATAAACTATTAATGAGAATACGATTATCGATCCTGTACAATGTTTAAATTCTAATAATATTTTTACTAATATAATACAAAATAATCATTATTATTAATTTTTTATTCCCTAACTGATTTTAGGTTTCAATCTCAATATTATATATTGTATTATATAAATAGTAAGTAAAGTTTGCAATAACAGCTATTGGTTTTTTTTAAATATGTTCTTACTTTCATTTCTTTAACCAATTCTTTACTTCTGTAATTTAAATCTGGTTGTTTAGGATCAAATTGATGTAAATAATACTGTCCACGTTGCTCATTCCATGTCCATGCTGAATTACTGAATAAACTTTGCTGAAAAAATGTTTACGTTATTATGATTTATTTATAAAATTTTAAAAATATTTAAATCTTTATTAGAACAACTTAAATATAACTTCTGTATAAAAAATTTATTTCTTAGAATATATTGTTATAGACAGTTTTTTAAAAGTTAAAAATAAAAACAAACATATTACATAATACTTTTAAAATACATTACCCAATTATTTGGTGGTATTCTCGAGTTATTTGTATCATATTTAGCATCTCTCCACACATAATAATCTGTGTATGGATGAATTTTTTTTACAGATTTTTCAAACCATTCGTGTTCATCACTTGAATGGTTAGGTACGAAGTCCAAAATAATTTTAATGCCTAAATTATCAATTATAGTTATAATTTTTACTTATAAAAATAAAAATGCATTGTTAAATATTAGTTATTATGAATATCCTTGTTTTTATTTAATAATGAATTATAATATAATTTAAGTATTGAGAAATTTATCTATGTCTATATATTAACTATTAACCAACTAGAGTATTTTGTTTATTTAAAATGTGAAAAAAAATCAATTAAAAAAAAAAAAAATTTTATTATTTCCTTTTGCTATTATTTACTACTTAAACATTACTATTACGATTTAGATAATTCGTTGATATATAGTACAATTAATATATATATTAAAAATAAAAGGAGCAATAGCATTTTATAAATAGATGGTTAGTATTTTACCTCAAAGTTTAGTAAACAACATATAATTGTATTATTTTTATTATTTATTGGATAATCCGGTTTCTAAAAACATTTTAATTGCAGTGTTTCTCAATTTATGATTTACTTATCGATTTGAAAGTTGATTAAATCACTTTTTTAGATGGGTACATATGAATTATATCAAGTGGTTTGATGAAAAATATCATTATTTACCCAATGACTTCAATTTTTTGTGTAATGAAACAAAATCATCCATTGTGCCATACACGGCATCAATCGCATTGTAATCCGAAATATCGTAACCAAAGTCAGCCATAGGCGATTTGAAAATAGGGGATAACCAGACACAATCCGCTCCTATGTCTTTGAAGTGTTCTGCTTTTTCTTCAATCCCTATTACAAAATTTCAAAAACCACGTTATTTTTTAATAAATTATCTAAATTAGTAACAAAAAAATGTAAAAAAATATCTATTATATGCAAATGAATGTTTTTATTTAATTATCATGTATGATGTTTTTTTTAATATTCAAAGAAAATATATTGTCGTATTAAGCATTTGATAAAAAATTAAATTAAATCAATAAGAAATATTTTTAAAATACAAAATTACGTTAATAAAACAGTTATGTAAAAAGTTGCGTCTGAAAACAAAACCTACATTTAGAAACAATGAGGTTATTAGTAATACAAAAGACTATAAAAATATTCGAAACTAAGTTAAGTAAACCATTAAACAATAAAAAAATAATCTATTTTTTTAAATATCAAAGTAATAAATAAGACCAACACTTGTATACATTTTTATATTTTTATTGGTTTATTAAAAGTAGCTAGTATTTATATCAAAATTTGATTCATCACCTAACGTTGTTGTACACGAAATTTTATTTTGCAATTGTCGTATTTCTACATTTTTAGAGCATATTTAGGTTTTATAAGACCTAATTTATAATACAAATGTTAATTTTTTTACATATACAAGTTGATAAGGGTAATTTAACTTCTTAGTAAAAATAGGTAAAGTTAGTGTTTAGTCATGAGGCTCCTACGGTTTGAGCGATCGGCCTCCCTGACTACACCACCGAAAATAATACGTACTAATAATTATTAAAAATTATCTAAGGAAAAAGGCAACCATACAAAACGTTATAAATATTTGAGCTGTAGGTACGCAAAGCTTATGCAATACAATTAACAAATGAATACGTGGCAAAAACCAAATACAAATATTTAATTGATAAATATTAAAATTCAATGAGATGTTATCAACGACGAACGTGTTTACAAACAAAATATGATAAACGATACTACAAGTTATATCGTCGTGATGATAATAATAATAATAATAATAATAACAATATTCCAATAAGCACTATAACAATAATAAGAATCGTGGTACAATTTGTATCGTGTATAATTTTCACGGTTTAAGATAGAATGGTTACGTGACGATTCATTCAATCCCATGATACATTACGGCGGAAAAGTATCTTATCAAATATATCATATTATGATTTTTCTCACTGGATACTAGCGCTTATGGTGTCAACATGGTCAACCACTAAATCTTGGCTACAAGAGCAATAATTCCAGTCTCCAGACGGTATTTTACTATTTAGTCATACCACCGTATATAAACTCAATACAATTTTGTTTTGTAAGACTGTGAACATACTACTAAATAATATAACAATGGTCATATACATAAAATGAGATAAAATTCACGTTAATTTGCGCCAATTCTATTAACCATGATATTATAATAATTGTGGTTATTCTTATTGTAAATTAATTATAAAATTGTCATACTTCTTTTTATATTAATTTCAAAATACCAAATTATTGTTGTGTTTATGAGCTTCACGAGGAATCAAAACCTCTTTTTGGAGTCCCCAAAAATGTATAGATAATATTAAAATATTATGTATATAACAATGAGGATGAGACAGTATAGTTACACAAAAAATCAAGAAGCAAAAAAATTAAACAAAAACTAGAAAAAAATATCTAAATTAGTATCCACTTAGGAAATATAAACTTTTGGTAAATAATGTATTATAAAATTACTGTGAAGTAGCTAGTAAGCAGTAGGTACTATAATAATATTAAATAATAATATTTAACAAAATAAAGAATATCAAGGTTATCGCGATAATTTAGTAGATCGCACCACAAGGCAGTGAGTTTTTTCATATTTTTGATAAGAACCTTCACCGTTCACCGCCGAAATATCAGACCTCGTCATGTTACCATTCTATGTTAAATTGTGATAATTTTTTTTTTTTTATAAAACCACGGTCTTAGAAAATCTTCTAAGACCGTGTATAAAACGAAAAATAGCTAGCTTTTTTTCCGATAAGTATAATGAATTGCCAATCAGAAAATTAGTTTTTTTTTTATCTATGTATCGTGTTGCCGTTATCTCCCGTTGCCGACGGCCAGTTATCGTTATCGATCGTTATTATTACTGTTTAACTCTGTTTACTGTATTTTCCGCTTTTCGTTCGTTTTTCCGACGTGTTCTCGAGTTTATCGCTTAGAGCGTGTCTTTTTCGTTCCGTGCGTATGCGGTTCTTTTGCGGACTCGATCCTTGGCCGTAGTCGTAACAGAGGCAGGCTACGGTAGGACGTTTTTCTCTAAATGTGAGTCGGTTTTGCTTTTTTCGCGTCCGCGCTCGGTACTGTTTCGACAGTGTATAAAATACTTTATGTGTATAAAAAAAGGACATACCATTTAGTTTTTTGTATAAATTTGGTGTGATATCACGATATATACGTATATATGTATGAGATATATTCAGTTAATGTATATGAATACATCAGAAACACTCTAAACGACAAAAAATATGCGATTTAAGGTTTCATACACGAATTGTGAAAATTACATTAGTTAAACAACGTTTAATGCAGTATTCGTTGCTACTCTAAAACGGTTTAAATGCTCGAGATTCAGCATCGAATTTCTAACTTGAACGGTAGTCGATAGGTCTTAGGATAG